TTTTCAGATTTTTGGATCCAAAATCGAGGGGTAGCTTCTATTCGGGGGTAGCTTCTATTCGGTAATATACGGTAATTCAAATCAAATTATACTTATCCTAAAAATGTTCAAAGCAATTAAAAAAAGTTTTCTTATCAACATATTTAACTGCGCCATAATACCCATACTCACCTTATAAAAAATTTTTTTAGAAGTTTACAAATTTTGACCTGGCTAAGTTATATAAACCAATTAAGTAGTATTGCATAGTTATATTCAATATATTCTGTATATTATTTATAATATTTTTTATTTTTTTTAGTAATCATTTTTCTGTAGGATAGAAAGAACTTAATCTCAAAATGTATAGTTTGAGATAATCAAGTTTATTTTGTGCAGACTAATCCAAGTTTATTAGAAATTTTATTTTTATTAAGTAATTATACTAGATATTTTTATAATACGAAAGTTTTTAAAGTTATTTTTTAATATAATTTTTTATTATGCAAATTACAGTAACTCCTATTCATAGTATCATGAAGTACCAATAATTTTATACTAAGTTATCTGATATAATTCTACTACGTAGTACAAACATTTCTGATATCAAAACTAAGATATTTGATAATATGAATAAAAAATTTTTATTATTTTAGAAAATTTTATATTTATAGCTTTTAATTTAGATTTCTTATTTCCAAATCTAAATGATGTGCTGACTACAGTAAATTGAAAATAGCGATAAATACAATTAAAATACAATCCGCCAAAAATAGATAATATATAGTGCTTTTTTTCATGATGAGATATTTTGAAGAGAGAAAATCATTTTTTGCCATTTGATTTGTGAAAACCTTAATGAGTACCATGTATTGAGACTAAGATTTATGTGAAACTTTTCATAGATTTGTACAATTATTTGTGAAAACCATGATAAAAATTTAGACGCAACAAATCATGAGACTGATATCTAATAATTTCGAGTAAAAAGATAAATTTTTGTCCTTTGATCATGCAAAATTATAATTTAGGTTTAAATAACAAAATTTTTATTATAAAATAATGTTACAAACTTAAAATACAAGCAAGGGAAATTACTTAAAGAATTTTTCAAATATGAACTATTCTATATAAATCGGTTTACCTAACTTCTTTAATAGAGCAATTGCTCTTTCATTCTTACTCTCAGCAGCAAATCTCAAATAATTTAGCCCACGTTCTTCATCCTTCTTTACTCTAAGTTTTCCAGAGTAGTAAATATCACCCAAATAATACATAGCATCAGTATTTCGATCGACATTGTCAGCTGCTAATGCAAAATAACGAACTATTTCCTTGCGTAGTTCATCTTTTGTAGTCTCATTACTCTCTTTGTTAAGGTCACCAAGCAATGACACTGCATATCTGCATTGTGATTCAGAATGATTATTTTCATCGGCAGCTTCTTTGAAAAATTTTCTGGCTTTAATTGGTTCCTTTTCACCATTATACCCGTAAAGTAAATAATACCCTAACCAGAATTTTGCTACTGGGTTATCAAGTTCAGCATTTTGTTTGAAACATTCCCATGCATTCTGATATTTCCTCTCTTTATGCATCTTTATACCATCGATAAGTGGTATAACGGCAACTTCATCAGGAACTTCATCATCTATAATTTCAGGATTATCGTCAATTTCTGGCAAAATTTCTTCAGATTTTAGTCCATCAAAATCTAATACTTTATTTTTTAAAAGTGGCGCTGCATCATCAGGAATTGGAAAATTTCTGGCTAATTTTTCAAGCTTTTGCCTTAGTGTGGGAATAGTTATTCGTAATTCAGGTTGATGGCACCATGCTTTTTATCAATTAGGTAGACGAAAAAAGTAAATTAGAAATAAGTAATAATCAATAAAAAATAAATAAAATAAAAAATCTTGATAGAATTACCATCTTGAATAATATTAATAAATTTTAATTGAATTTTAATATCATCAGGATTCTTAAATCTTCCTTTTAAAATTTTTTCTCGTTTACCACTCAAAACATGATCAGCTATTTGTTTAATATTCCAATTAGCATATGGTAATTTTTCATAACAAAGCTCCCATAAGAGCATTCCATAACTAATCGTGAAGAAGAATGGTTAGAAAAGATAGAAGATAAATAAACGCGGGCCAAATATACATATATTATCCATATAACTACCTGAACATTTCACAATTAAATGTATATACTCTTTTGTTTTCATAATTACCATAACTAACATATTTTTTGATTAACTCAGGAGCCATCCAACGAACAATGTATGTTGCTAATTGTGAAAGATTTCTAGAATTGGCATCTACTTCGCGTGCACATCCAAAATTTCCGAGTTTTACGCTCAAATCACCTAGTACCTATAATTTAGTGTTAGTAATTATCATTTTAGAAGTATTACTGTAAATATTATTTAATTATGCTTACAAAAACATTTTCGCATCTAACATCGTGATGGAAAACATTTACAGTACGCAAAAATAGAAGACCGAAAAGTATTTCTTTGGCAATTTGTATTTTTCTAGTCCAAGGGATGTCATACTTGTTATAAAGTTCTCTTAAACTTCCTCGCTCAGCCCATTCAAAAATTATGATTTTAGAATTATTAATTTCTGATTGACCATAAAACTTGATAATTTGTGGTGATAGACCTAATTTGCGAATGATCGCCAATTCGGTTTCATTTTGACCATCAATAGGCTTACATGCAATTTCTATCAATGTTTTATACATCATTTTAAAGACTCTGCCTCTTTTCGTTTGAGTCGTAGGGTCACTTAGTTCATTTGAATCAATCTTATTCGCACCACCTTTCTTAGTCGTTTGCATAAGGTCTATACGTTGAGCTAATGCATCGATTTTATCATCAACGTGCTTAAAGGACTAAAGTGGACAATCATAAAGTTTAAATTTGGTATAATAAGCTTGTTATATTTCTGAACAACTAAACTTACGCCGTCAAGTTTGTCTCCGACTTGTTTGTAGGACTAAATAGATAATCATAAAGTTTAATTTGGTATAATAAGGTTATTTTATCCGGCACCTTACTATGATCGTACCAACAGAATAACTCGAGTTATTTTGATGATGATTGCATCATCATCAAATAACTCGAGTCATTCTGTTAGTTCGGTCGTGATACCGGATAATACCGTTATTGAATGCTACTCAGCCAATAACTTGTTTATCTGGCAGTGAATTTAATATGTCATTTCTGGGCCCCTTCGGGGCCCAGAAGCTGACATATTAAATTTAACAGCCAGATAATGAAATTATTTTCCAAATAATTTCCGTTATTGGCTGCTTCGCATCCAATAACTCTATATTATTTCTGAATTACTGAACTTACGTCTTCAAGTTGATTCCCAACTTGTTTCAAGGACTAAAAATGGACAGTCATTAAAAAGTTAAATTCAAATATAATAAGGATATAATAAGTTATAGTTACTTTAACAAGTTTAATGTCAAGTTGTTTAAGGGACTAAAAATTGATAATTATAAAAAGTTTAAAATTAATATAATAAGGTTATTATTCTTCTAATAACTGCAGTAAACCTACTTCATCAACTTCTTTTAAAGCGTTATCAACTCTTTCAGATTCGTCAATTGCGGTAGCAACATCGATAGCGAAGTGCAAGTCGGCCATACAATTATCAAAATCTTTTCTTAATTGATCAAATTTATTTTTAACATCGGTTGCATGAAGAAATTTTTTATAACCTTTAAGCTTTGATACGCTCTTAGTATATTCTTTTATTTGTGTTAAAATATTTTTAAATCTTTCAAATGCTCTATAATATGATTTTTCACGAAAATCTTCCTTATTCTTATCTACGCTTCTAACTATCCTATCCATAGAAGATTCTGCTGCTTTTACTCGATCAACCATAATCAAACAAAGTTCCTTATTACATTCTGCATTCTCGTAAATTTGATAAATTTCTCCAACTAGTTGTTTCACTGCGCCAATTACAGGAATGTAAACGGCCAATATATCAGCAGCAGCGTCAAAAACTTCTTTTGTAGCAGTAGCCATGATTATAATTAAGTATGTTAATAATAAAGTATATTTATAATTAAATATGTTTATAATTAAGTATGATTATAATTGAGTACGAGAACGTACGAAATTTCAAATATCTAATTAACAAATCTTTTTTATAAAATCTGATATGCGCATTTAATACGTATACGGTGTTTTGATGTTAATACAGTAATAAACCTTTATAAAGAATTGTGTTAACACACATGTTTATCCAATATCTGGTGCCGACATTTATTTGTCATAAATTGTAACAAAGATAAAACCGTATTTTGATGTCCAAGCAATACAACATGTTACGTGTAAGGTATAACGATCCAATTTACTTTGTTTCAATGTGACTCGGGTAAATCAAGCTATATATGGTATAATATAAAATTATTATGAAATTCTCGTGTAACTTTAACATGAATCTTCTTGATTATAACGTAATCAACAATATATCGATAATTAATTAGATGTAGGGCCTTTATAACCAAAAATAGATACCAAACTTTCGAATGATTCGATAGTGGGTCTCTCGAATGCAAATTACGTAGTCAAATTCAAATTTATTTAAAAAAAAATAAAAAAATTCTAAAAGATTCGCTTGAATATCGCTCATACGCAATTTACGTATAACTACTGTAGTTAATAAACAACAAATCAAATCCAATTGACTAATTGAATTTATTATATATATATTTCAATTAGCATGACACATTTTATAAGTCTTATGTTTCATCTGTATATTTGCTCGGTGCAATTATTCCTTCAGAACTACCCATTTCGGCAGATTTTCTATAATAGCTGAATGCCTTATATTCATCCTTTTCAACTCCAATTCCTTTTTCATAACAATACCCAACCTTATATGCACCATCAACATATCCCATATCATCAGATCTTTGCTTCTTCATAACAACAACCAGCATTCTATGTTCCGCCAGCATGACCCATATTAGCAGATTTTTGATAATATGTAAATGCCTTGTGCGCATCTTTCTTAATTCCAATCCCATTTTGATAACAATAACCAACATTAAATATTCCATCATTATCGCCCATTTCAGCGGACCTTTGATAATAACCAAATGCTTTATATTCATCCTTTTCAACTCCAAATCCGTTTAAGTAACAGCCACCGAGATTAAATTTTCCATTTAGGTTCTCCAACTCAGCTGATTTTTGATAATAACTAAATGCTTTATACTTGTCTTTTTTGACTCCTATTCCATGTTGGTAGCAACAACCAACCATGAGCATACCCTCAGAATCATCAATATTAGCAGATTTGATAATAATTAAATGCCTGATTTTCGTCCTTTTTGACTCCGATTCCGTTTTGATAGCAAATTCCTAACATAAGTATTCCATCAGAATTTCCAATATTGACAGATTTTTGATAGCAACTTAACGCCTTATGTTCATTCTTTTCAACTCCAATTCCATACTGATGTCAATGTCCAATTATGAAAATACCTTCTTCATAACCCATATCAGCAGATTTTTGTAAATAACTGAATGCCTTGTGCTCATCCTTCTCAAATTCAATTCCTTTGTAATAAAGGATACTGAGATTAAAAATTTTACTTGCATCCGCTGTATCACCTTTATATTTTTCATTTTTAGCTCCAAGCACATGGTCATTACAATTATTAAGTTCAATTATTCCTTCTACACGTTCTAAATCAACAAAATCTTGTAAAGACTTTTTAAATCTATCATTTTCAGATTTGATCGTGTCAATTATTAATAGACTTTCACTATTTCTCTGATTATCTCGATTATCTTTTAGATAATTGTAGTAAAATATTATCAGGAAAGTAATAAATAAAACTAATTCATCAGCAATATAAATGCAATATTTATCAGGATATTTGGACTGCTTATCAGAATCCGAAATAATTAGAGGGTCAAATCGTCTGCTAATATGAATTGCTTCGGTATGCATCTTAAAATAAGTGGATGCTGTATCAGCAACCTTTATTTGTGCAATAAAATCATCTGATTCATAAATTGAACTGTCATTGCGCCATTTATATAAAATGTTATATATTTCTTCAGAAGTTGGTCTCTCGTCTGGCTGAGCATTCCAACATTTGGTTATAAGTTGGTTAATTAATTCTGGCACATGTGCTGGGATTTTTGGACGTAAACCATGATAAATATTTTGCGCAAGATGAATATCATGCGATATATCATGATATGTTGGAAAACCTGAAAAGATTTCATTTATCAAATGCCAAATGAATAAACATCCGATGCCATACTATTGCCTTGTTATATAATACTTCAGGCGCAATATAAGGCATTATTCCACATATTTTGTCAGATGACCCTATATTGACTAATTTTGAAAGTCCCAAATCTGCTATATATACGCACTATGAAAATTTACTAATAATATGTTTCCACTATGTAAATCTCGGTGAATATAAATCTCGGTGAATATAAATCTCGGTGAATAAGTTTGTGGGAATGAATTATTTTAAGATCTGAGGCAATGCAACATAATATAGACAATTTCTTTTTTCATTCTATTTGTGAAACATAATAAAGATTTTTACGTAAAGAGCCCATTTTTGCATATTCCATAACAAGAATATAATCTTTAGAACTATATGCCCAAGCATTTTAAAAAAGTCAGGTCTTTAAGACCAATATTACAATATGACTTTAGCTTATTGTAAAAAAATATTCTATTAATATAAACAAGATAATAATCATTAATTAAAAATATTACAGCAACTAAAATTACCTCATTCATGAATTCTTCACGGTGATTATTTGATCCGTGAAGTAACTTGAGTGCGACAGTTTTTATTGTATTTCGATTGTTAAACATGCATTTAGCAAAATATATTGTTGCAAATCCGCCTTTTCCTATCTCTTTAATATCTTTAAGGAATCCATGGCAACTGATTTATTTTCGCATAGCATTTTTTTTTAAATCGTTATTAATATAATTATTTTTATATATCCATTTATCATCTGTTGCTGATTAACGAAATTGATCTGGTCAATTTTATTATTTTCATTTTATTAAAAATCGTAAAAGTTACCTGAAGTTAGCTCTTTTCCCCTAGTTAGTGATTAGACATAATGTATAAGTTTATTAGCAATTTGAAAAAAATCAAAGGCATATTTAAAAAGCTTACTTACATTTATACCAATAATTTGCTTTATTTAAGTCGACAGATATTCCATATCCATTTCGATAACAATCACCAACTCGAGTCATTCCAATAGAATGTATCTCCTTAGTAGGAAAATCGATATATATCCCTCCATCATAAACATAATAATCAACGTTGGAAAGTCCTCCACTACGTTCAATTTCAACAGAATTTTGATAATATATAAATCCTTTATGTTCATCCTTTTAAACGCCATGCCCACAATGGTAGCAATGTCCAACCTAACCATAGCCCTAACCCATGACAATTTAATGCAAACTAACTCAATTTTAATTTTATACTGTATTTACTGAAATAGCAAATTCTGTATGAAATTATTTACAGCAACTCACAATAATAATTCTGATGCAAACAAATACACCTCAAATACATATTGTGGTTACTGTAAGTTCTGCAACATAATTTTTTCAGTAAAAATCATTTTATTTACAATGAAACTCAAACTTCTCTAACATTGGAACAGTAAAGACTGTTACAATCGAAATCATAATTCTGATACAACACAATTACCTAAATTACCTAGTGATAGATAAAATAATGAATAAATAATATAATTAGAATGCATTGTAATGAGACTAGTTAATTAGAAGTAAAATAAATTAAACGAAAAATAAGGCAAGAAGCTAGCTACTTAATTGTAAAAAAGATTGATATAATAAAATTTTATGCATAACCTGAAGTGTATAACAATCTCGTCCAAAAAATTGTACTAATATAACACTAAAAAATAACCAAGTAATGGTAAAGACTGCAAAATAAACACTAAACAGTTTCTTATCATCATTAATATAAAGCTCTACTTGTTTTGCTATAAATTATAATATTAAATCGACAAAATTTTGAGAATTGCACTAAAAATTATACTATAATCAACATGTAACAAGTCGTATACAGTAATAAAATACGAAATAGCATCTATCTACTTCGTCAAATTTCATACAGTCAATGAATATTCAGAAAGAAAATATCGATCAATTTGAAATGAAGGGCATAAAGAATTATCAATTGCAAAAAGAGCACATAAATTATCAAAGAACGTTACAGAAAACAAACCAAATGGTTAAAAAGAATTAAATTATTATAATGTCAAAACTCAAATTTATATGTATTATTCTGTGCTCTCGCTAAAAAAAAAAAGGGTATTTTCTTTGAATTAATATTCATAATAGAGATTAGTATCCGAAATTACATGTATGCCAGAAAAATAAACCAGTTCATTTTTCTGGACAATGCTAGGGTTTGTTATAGACCGGTTGAACCGCGGAGCCTAGCTAGAGATGTACCGTGATGTTGCATGCTACGTAATGCTACATAATGCGATGCGATGCAATTTTCCTAAGATTTAAAAACGCACATAGAAGTTATTATGTAATTTTGATCTATGTCATTTCATCAACAAACACTTTATAGACATTTGTTTCAATCAAAAATCCGTAGCCTGTGAAATCTAATAAAAAATTAACCTACCAGGTCTGTTTCCACCAGTGTTCTCAAATGACTTGGGTGACTTAAATAACTCAGTGCCCTTGCCATTTATCGGTCATTTAGAAAAAAATGACCAGAATTTAGCCACTTGAAATACGCAAATTAAAAAACTCTGGTCTATGTTCCGACTAGGACTGTTAAGTGGTCCGACTCAAACCGATGGGCCGCCGGTCCTGCCTTTTTTGGGACGGCCGTCGGTCCTAATATCAGTTATTATTACTATTACAGCTATTATCATAATTTCTGGGACACCTGTAAAAATTTGCCGAATGATTTTTCAGCCGATCCGGTTAAGTTATATATATTTCGGGAATAATAATAATAAGATTCAGTAACAGATATATCAAATACGTAATTTAATAAGATCAGGTGACTAATATATATTACAATAAAACTATAAAGTTGCAAAATTTCAATCCTATTCTTTGACAAGATCCATTTTCGTTCAAATGAAGGCGTTTATTCATTTCTAATTATTTTTCGTTTCTTGTCGAAGACGAAAAATTTGTTTTTAAAAAATTAAACTAAATTTCGATTCCTATTATTTGGCAAGATACATTTTCGTTCAAACGAAAGCATTTATTTGTTTTTAATTATTTTTGTTTCTTGTCGAAGACAAAATTATAATATAAACATATAAAATTTTTTACTTGGATTTCATTTATCATAATTCTTCATGCATTCTCGACAAATATTAATAATATCTTGGTCGCTTAGAATCCTAACCCGAGATTCAGTCGATGTTATTTTACTTTTTTAATAGCGGCACCTGTTCGAGTAATTTATATTCGATTCCTTCTTGTTAAGGTTTATTGGTTGACATGAACAGCTTTTTCCTTAAATTTTCGTACAAACTAAAGCACATCAAACATTTTTGGACAAGCATTCGAACAAAAATTTAAAATCGTTGACATTATTGTTATGACAATCGTAAAATGAAATTGATCATTATATAATACAAAAATAGCTTATTTCGAATCAATAACTTAACCGGATCGGCTGAAAAATCATTCGGCAAATTTTTACAGGTGTCCCAGGAATTATGATAATAGCTGTAATGAATTGTCGAAATATTGCTTTTTCGAGATTTCGAGCTTCGGGATATAGTACCATCGGGATTTAGATCTTCGGATTTTTAACGACTCCCATATTGTAAAGATAAAATTCACAATATTTTTTAATTTTGAGGATCTAATACAAATACAGATAAACTATAGAAGTATATAGCTTTAGAGACTAGAGGTTGTACCCGTTTATCCGACAATCCGGAAACCGATATTTTGATGCTATCCCGGAATAAACTTATGCATAACCGGTTATTTTATATAGTAATAGATATTACGCGTTGTTATATTACATAGTGTAGTAACGCGCAGTGTAGCTCTAGCTGCTGCTTGAAATTATATAGATTGAATAATACAAGGTATCTAATGGGCGTGATAATTCTATAAATTTACTTTTACTTTTTAATTTTGTTTTATCGCGATAATTTAGTAATTTAAGTATTTAAAATAAACTATATTTTCAAGATTATTATATTTGCTGAGATATACAGGTTCATCAATATTTGACACTTCATTTATTCGCGCTAATTTAGTTGGAACATTGATTAATATAATTGGCTATTCATGAATCATTATTAATTTAATTAGAGTATAAAGAGCATTGGTTTATCCAAATACAGGCTATTCTTATTAATATTTACTATTTAAACTTATTATTTAGTTAATTTAGCATGTGTATGAGGAAGTTTTAATTCTATTTTTCAAAAACCTTGTTAGATGAGGATTAGACTAAAGTTGATTCGGCATAAATTTAGTCAATCGTACGAATTTCTTACCGGGTCAACCGGGTTACTTGAGTCACTTTAAGTAATCCGGTTTGTAACCCGGTTAAACAGGCGAGTAAACCAGATCTTAAATTTTATACGGGTACAGCCTCTATTAGTGACATTATCGAAAATATTTTTGTTTTAATTGCTGCTAAGTACTTAATAAAATAATCGTTTGTAAGTGCATGGCAATAGTGATTCGTTATTATTTAAAAAAAAAAAAAAATTATCGTTATAGTTATTTATTCTTGGCTTTGATTTTGACGTAATATACATTTTTTTATGGGCGATTTGAACCGATTGAGCTATAATCGAGTAACCGAACCGGACAAAATTCGGTTACCGTATTTTCGCGTAATAACGCTACGCTCACCTGCGCGTTATTTCGAGTACGCGTATGAGTGTTATTTTGAGACAATTAGAAATTTAGGTTATTCTTGTATAAAAAGTAAACATACAAAAATGCTTCGAAACTAGATTTAGTACTAAGTAAACCTTCCTTCAACTTTAACAAAAGTTTTTTTACAATGTTTTCATTAATTTTGGGACATCTGGTACAGTAAAAATTGACCGAATGATTATTTGGCCGATTCGATAAGTTTTGGGGTAATGAGTGATGTGCTTAGAGATAAAATATATCGTTTGCGTTACTTCAGACAAGTCGGATATTTCAAATTCAATAGCAATTATTTCAGATAAACTAGGCATTTTTAAAATGGATACTATGGACGAACAAGCTAGAGGTTCCTTAGTTGTTAGATTAACCGTTTCAATATTTTCATCTGATTTATCTGATTCATACTGATTTGCTTTTTGCTCTATATTTTAAAAATTCATTCTAATTTATATTACAATATTACGTAAATACAGAAATACTGTAAATGAAATACTTTTCTAGATTTTTACTTTATTTTGTTTATAATTTTCAATGCAGTATAAAAACTTGATTGTTTGGAATTATAGCTTGAGTTATATTTTCTTTAGTCCGGTCAATAAATTCTTGTTCATATCGAACTTATTTTTTTTTTAGCGCCTCCTTGTGTAATATATTTATTATTTATATTCAGAATCCATTTTGTTTTTTGTCAAGTCTGTTGCTTGACAAGAAAATTTAATTTTGGATGTGTTGACATTGTAGTATCGTTCAGAATACAATCGCAAAAAATATATATCATTATCGTTACCGTTATGTTACTAATCACGTCCAAATCAAAGTTTATTAAAAACTAACCGAATCGGCAAAATAATCATTCGGTCAATTTTTTACCAGATGTCCCAAAATTAATGAAAACAGCTGTAAAAAAACAACTTTTGTTGAAGTTCGAAGGTATACTTAGTACTAAATCCGAAATTTAAATCTTACTATAAATACTGCGAGGTGTGCGCTATTTTGAAACTATATATATTATTTTTAGGGGGGCACGATTTTCGAAATAACGCTCATGAACGTTATTACGCGAAAATACGGTACAGCTATTATCATAAATCCTGGAAATACCAATGACCGCCGATTCGATAAGCTGCCGAGTCGATAAGTTATTGATTACAGTCGATGGCGTTGGCAATTTTTCCGTCGTCCTAGGATTTACCATAATCGATTGAGTAAAATTTCAGCATAGAGGGTGGAATTGATGTATGATGAATAATTATTCGATCATCGAAATAAGCTTTCATTCATTGGGTTTTTAATTCGGTTATCATCGAAAATCTAACTGTATTTTAATAATGTGTAATGATAAGATAGTGTTTTTATTATAAATACAATTTTATAAATTTTTTAATGCAAAAAAAAAAGAAAAAAAGCAATTATACAGTAAACTCAATGTTACACTAAATTTTTGTATATTTTAAAATTTAAAACTTATTGTGCTTAAATCGAGAAAGAATTTCTTTATTTTGTACTTTTTTAATTCCGATTTATCACATAGTAAAAATGATATTAAAAAAATTCTATCTGTGCCACTTATTTGTTAATTTTGGTTTTTAAAAGTTGAAATTCTGACATTTTTTAATTGTTATTTATCTTTATTCGGCAGCGGCATGTGAAAAAACAATATCTAAACGAATCAGAAATATAAATGTTCCCTCCCGAATTTAGGCACAATCATCTGGATAGGTGAATGTATTAATTAAGTAAAATATAGAATTTATCACTGTGAACAAGTTTTCTTAATACACAAAGATCAATTTACATAATAAAAAAATCCGTTTTTAACATTTTACGATTGCTTCTTATTAAACGAAAAAATTAAGAAATTTTATTTAAATAACGATATCTCTGATCATTGGATCGCCATACCGTATAAGCGCGAAAAAGCCCATCTACACATGTGCGTTATTTCGAAATAAGAGTTGACTAAGCACCCCTTGATTATAATAAGAGGTATATACTTTTTATAATAAGAATTCCGAAACTAAGTTTGGTGCTAAGTAAAGTTACAGTATTTTTGAGCTTTAAAAACTTTTGTTAAAGCTCGAATGTAGGTAGGTTTATTTAGTACCAAACTTAGTTCCGGAGTACTTTCTTTTTATGGGGGATGCGCGTTAATTCAGGACGCCCATGGCGCTGATTTAAACCACATATGTTATTTTGGAGGTATCAGATTTTCAAAATAACGCCCACGAGCGTAAAATAAAGTGTCATCTGAATGCAAAATTTAAGCTAGTCCCTTAACCTAATGTTTCGGGCTAAAGTAATTTCCAAAATTCGAAATATTTGCCAATAAGAAATAATTTGCCAGAGAGACCTGCAAAATATTCAGTAATTTTGCATTTTTTGAAGTCCGAAATATTTCATCAGTGTAGAATATTTTCGCTCAGAAAATTTCGGATTCACCTGAAACAGTTTTGGAAATAAATTTTTTTAGTTAACATTTAGAAGGCATATGTGATCTAATTCTACCATACCTACCTAACTATAGTGCTGGCCATGCTGTGTCGATAATGATATGTCAATTCAGCAATTTCAAAATTCATTGAATCACATGATTTCTATCTGCTAAATTCCACCGATTTATTGTTTTTAACGTAATAGAAATATATATAGAGGGGGGAAATTATTTTAATTTCAATATAATTTCAACATTTGATATATATATATATATATATATTTAAACTATAAAACAGCCTTATTATTGATTTATTTTATCTTAAAATAATTATTTATTAATTAAATAAAAAAATTAATTTCACCAATTTCAACATTAAAATTTTTTTTTATTAGGGTAATTTCATCCTATTTATAGAAATATTACAATGGGACGTATGTACGTACTGTACGTATGCAAATCAAAAAACTGTGACTAAAAATTTAATACGTAGTTAATCTACATAGCAGATAAGATTTTCTTCTTATCACTATATAAATAGTTTGGAAACCATTTATCTGTTCGTGATTATTATCTTTCAAAGATGTGATTGATTTATTATAAACAAAATGTGAATTTTATATCTTTTTAATCTCCCTGTGGTAAAGAATAGTATAAAAAAAGGGGCTGAATATTATCGCTATCGATGGCTGCTTAACGCCAACCCACACAAATGATCTTATCAAACAAATCTCATCATTATCATTGCCGTTATTGTGCATACTAACCATAAAAGTTAAAATCCCCGGAATCCCATCCGATGGTGATATCCCATCGAATTTTAGACGTCGGAGGTAAATTTCCTCTTCACAAAAATCACAACAATCATGAATTATTAAACAATTGTAAAACGAAGACGCTTTTCTTCGTTTTTTTTTTCTCCTTAATTTTTTTTCTTTTTTATATTTACACTATGTTGCAAAAGTTATTTCGCTCAAAGCCTACAACTAAAAATGAAGAAGACAAGTATGCACAATCTTTACTCGGAACTGACCCGTATGTATCTTGTATGAGAATACTCTGTTAAAGACGGATTATTTCAAGCGAATAGGATATCATATTTTTTTGATCATAAGATAGATATTAAAGGATGTCAAGCGATTATTTATATTTTTAAAAAAATGTCGAATACTAAAGAAAAAAACAATTAGTTGTGGGATATAACTCATTGGGTTATACAATTAGGAAGGGGAAAATCTAATAATTATATGATTAAAGTGAATAGACAAGAAACGTTACCAAATTTTTTAAAAAAATTGCTCTTTATTATTTACATATGTTTTAAATCGCATTCGAAATTCATTATTGTTGATATTTCAGTTGGTCTCCCCCGACTTTCGACGCTAATCAGATACGAGTAATTGTCTGTCAAGATACTGGTGATAAAACAAAGCTGACTTTATTCGATTCTGCTATTTCCACATCTCCTAATGCGTCGAATGACCGGGATCATGCAAATATTGAGTCTTCTTCTTGGAGTGGTGTTAGTTTTCTCACTGGACCCTTTTTGCCAAAATCAAGTAGCGCAATAAATATAAAATCTTCTACTTCCACTCATCCTCGTATTCAGGATTCTATTCATAATAATGAGAATAAACGAAGAAGTTTTGATTCTGTAAATCAATCAAATGCCAATACATTACCACCATCGAATCGTAGTCCAAGAAAGGTTAGTGTTATGATTGACTAACCTAAAAAAATTTATTAAAAATTCTGTAGACACTTTTGATCATTTTGATCATTTTTGATCATTTTTAATAATTTTTTATCTTGATATTCTCTCCGATTCAAAAATTTTATCAACAATTTTATAAGTCTATATGATATATACTTTGATTTTTCGATTATATCATTATTTTGAATTAAAATGATTATTCTCTTTATACTTCTGGGTGTAAAAAATTATATTATTAATCAGTTAATACTTACAACACTTTAAAACACTTTAATGTATTAACTATAGACGGCTCACAATATTGATATAATTGGTGATATGATGTTTGGGACGGTTCCTTTATCATATAAGGGAATGACTACGAAAATTCATTTGATGAGATCTCCGAAACCACAGATTTTGTTGACCAAACTATTTTCCATAAATCCTTCGGATTTAGAAAGCAATTCTTCCGGGAGAAGAGGTTCTTTTTCGTCTACCAGTAGTGATACATCAATGTCTTCTTCAACTCAAGGCAGTGTTATAACCACAAATGGTCCCCGAAATACTTCAAAAACTACTTCAGATTCTAGTTTAATTTTTTTTGATGATTTCTCTGAATTAAGCGATGATGAATCCTTTCGTGCTACCTCTTCTGCATCTCTTCCATCTTTGTTTCACGCTGGTCCTCCGATACTTGGTTTACGTACTTCTGGTGCCTCCGTTACTTCTACTTCGTCTCTTTCCACTTCACCAAGGAATACTTTTACTAATAGAAGACTGCGAAGATTCAGTCATACTAGTATGGAAAATGGTATATTTAACCCAACGCCCTTACCGGGCAGTACTGTGCGATCTGATCAGTTATCTGGCAATGTATGTTGGCCTCTATGACGTATACATTATTATTTTTTTAGTTATATTAACCCTGCTTCATAATATTCACAATTATTCTTTTTTTTAAAAAAAACTTTAGCTAAGTTTGAAACATCCTTCACGTTCCTTTGTTTATTCTGTTGGTGTAGTTTTATCTTTGGAAGATAATGACCTTTTGGAGAGTTTTGTTTTCTCTCACTTTGCATTGTTAGAAAACAGATTACATCAACTTTACTCTAACGTATTCAAATTAATTTGTCATCTCCTCCGAAAATCCCCGCCGTCGTCTTCCATAAGTGGACCCAATTCTGTATATAATATTTACTTTTTGTACTTCTTTTTTTCTTAAATATTTATTCATGCTATATTTTAATTTTTATATTCATTTATTAGATATTCAATTCACCTTGTCGACCTAGAATTTCCGCTTCTTCTCTTTCATCACTTATGTTGCAGAATGAACCATTCTGGTTAGATGTTGTGACGCGATTTAAGACTTCGGTGTGCCAATTATATAACGCACCGAGAATTCAGGTATAATATGAAAAGATTCTCCACATAATGAAGCTCCTAGGAAATGTTGCTTTACCTAGAGTGCGCACACTGTTATATAATTTGCGTGCGCACAAGCAAAAGGTAGCAACTACTAACTCCTACCTAAACTTTGTGTAAGGAGCCTTTATGGTTGACCATGTCAACATTTCCGCATAAAAGGGAGAAACTCGCAAAAAGTTTTATGTCTGAATTATCTTATCTATTAGAAAAATACGACGACAAAAGATCGAATTTGTATCCTTTATATTTCTTTTTTATATAAAAGTATTTATGTAAAACTTCTAGTTTTGACCTTTAAATTTTATCTCCTTAATCAAACATTTTGACTTTAATAGCTTTATATCGACACTAATTACCAGCGTTCTAATGTACCATCTTTCTTGGGTACCAACTGTTGCTAGTGTTGCTGATTTTGAGGAGCGGGTACCAATTAGCCATTTTCAATTTTATTCATTTTATTCACGTTTATTAGATTATTAAAATGGCGTTTATTATTCGTATGACTATAAAGAATGGTAAAGATTTATTTTATGATCCATTATGGGCTCAATTGGGGTATATAATTTATTATTATTTATAGAATTTTTTTAATGAATTTTTTTTGTAATCTATACAAGTTTCTTACATTATTAATTTTTTTTGTTAATTTTTTTATTTAAAAGAGATTTATATGGAACCATAGGGACTCCATCAATAATGAGTAGAACCATAATTGTTGGAACTGATGAAAATACAGTTCGTCGAATATTGTTTATTCTTAGTTACTTTATACGATGCAATGAAATATTTGAAAGATCAGAAGATGTAATTCCTTTAGGATTACAGCTTGAAGAGGAGTGTAAGACATCTTTAAACTGTGATAAAAATTTGTCTTCAGAATCTACTCTATCAGATGGTAACTCTCCTCAAAAAGGAGATGTTGAAACGTTGAATGCGCAAAATATAAATGAAAAGCGTAACGATGATAATGTGAGTAATGATAGCGCGAATAAAGATTATGTTAATAATAATAATGCGAGTAACGATAATAAGAGTAACGATAATAAGAGTAACGATAATAGGAGTAATGATAATAAGAGTAATGATAATAAGAGCATTGATAATAAGAGCGTTGATAATAAAAGTAAAGATGATGCAAATATTAACCATAATAAATCACACAAGAGAACTGAAAGTCGACATAAAAGAGTTATTATAGATTTTCCCTTCACGGATATTTCTGTAGAAAACTTTTTAGATGTTCCAATGCCCAAGTAAGAAATGTTTTAATTCTAATATCTAACATATTTAAAATTATTTTCCTACAAATTTTCTTACAATACGTTGATATAATGATTTAAATTTATAGATCGCAAATTCAGGCTATAGTACCTGATCCGTCACCAGCCACGACAGATAAAGATAAAAATGCAACAAATATAAAAGGTCCATTTAAAGCAGATGAACTATTTGTAAAATCTTACGGACGGTCACTGATGGCCGGTTACTGTGAGAAATACATGTCAGACTTTGTATTGATGGGTCTCCCTAATCTTGATGAATTTCAAGACTCGTTGGAAACTGATTTAAAGAATTCTTTGCGGGTAATTCACTATATTAAATGTATAATATTATTGGCGTTTTATACTTATAATATTATTTATTTGTTTTAGATGCAGCCATTTTCTTCGCAAGATCCAGTTTCAAAATCAGTTTGCATTTTGGGACAGTTGAATACTTTGTATGTTTTAATTTAACGTTTTTTTTTTTTTTTTGCTACTCGATCAATTGAATGCAATCATAATCTTCATCTTTTATTAGGAGCTGCTCTATTTTGGGATGTGAAGCTTATAATAGTCATATTATTGGTGGAAGTCCACCAGTAACGGTTCAGGAGGATCACATAAGAAATGTCAGCGGATATTTTGTTCCATCAAATACTAAGTCAGATTACGTATCTACTATGCTTCATCAATGTAAAAATTTGTATACAAATATTGATATGCCTGCAGAATCTGTAAGTATCGGTTTTTATTAATAAATATCATTGTTTTTCGCTATCCATATTTAAAAAAATTGTGTTTTTTTTTTTTAGTGTTTAGAATATTTAGAAGATCAACTAAGGATTTTATATCATAAAGCTATTATGTATAAAAATTATTTTTCTAAATCATCACCTCCGACTTCAATTTCATCACAACATTTATTTGTACAACCATCTAAAAATGAGCAAGTACCAGTAAATATGTTAGAGGCACTAGGATTACATGATTCAGATATTCAATTAGTCGATGCCGTTAGTTCTACTTTGTAATTCTTTGTAATTTAAGAATTTTGGACAATTTTTTCTTTTTTTTTTCCATCACACATTATAATTTATTTATTTTATTTATTTTTATTTTTATTTTTTTTGGAAATAATTTTTTTTATTGTTTTTGGTATAGATGACTTTCATGAGACTAATGATAAATTTGATTATTTCTAATTATGCCAGTATAATAAATACATATATGTTATATGCTATTAATCATAAGGTCAAGTTAATACTTTCACTTAATGAACCTTTTAATACATGGGTTAAAATTGTTTATGAACAAGGACGATATAACGGCGTATGTACATAGGTGTCTAAATTACTCTTAAAATACATCAGATAGATCAGTTATACGTATTGTGGAATTAATTCGCTAGAAATGTACACCATTTTTTCACCTGACGTTAAATTACGGTTCTCGTGAGAGTCGCAAGTGTCGCTTCTGTCTTAAGGGTCACTAGAAACATAAATGTCATTAACATCATAAGTGTTAGTTTCGCAGATATTATATTTATTATTATATTATAGACGTCTCCTTCACCATGTACAATTATTAAGTAATGAATCAATTTCAGCCATTCTTTTGCATAATAAATAAATATGTGCGGGAAGTGATTGTTGAAGAATTGGTTGCCTGGGAAGTGATTTGCGGGTCCGTATTATTTCACCGACAATCACTTCATAGACACCACATTTCACCAACAATTATTCATCTACAAGTTCATTTTACTGACAGTCTATTTCACCGAAGCTCATTTCACCGACAAGTTTTTTTTTTTTATAAATTACACTAACTTTAACTCTAATTCTAACCTAACCCTAATATATTGATCAGAATTACTTTGTCCGTAAATGAGCTTCGGTGAAAATAAACTGTCGGTGAAATGAACTTGTCGATAAGTAATTGTCAATGAAATGGGGTTTCTACGAAGTGATTGCCGGTGAGTTGATCAAATCCCCTTTCCCCTTTCCACCTAACTACGTTTTGTCGGCACATTTTCGCTCTGTATTTATTTTCTATCTCTGTTAATCTACTCCATTCCATTATAGTTTGATTTTTCAGGATGTGCCCGTCCTTATAGTTGCCGTCCAAACCTAACTGTTTGGGACTTTGGGACTTTTTAGGGATTAACCACTATTTGTGACTAGTTTAAACCGTGGAATTTGTCCCAAAATTACTGTGCAAATTGGGATTTGGGACAAAATTTTAGATATAACCAGTCTGGGCCAATAGTTATAACTATTTGGACGGCAACTATACCCGTCCTGTTTCCTGTTCAAATAAAGGTAAATTTGCCTCAATATACACACGGGTACGGGTGTCATCTTGGTCTTAGTCAATATTAATATCAATAACCTCCGGAATTTCTGTGACATAGTAGATGTCACGATAAGATGCTCTCTGTAGTATTATTATTTATGAGATTATATATAATGAGGATTGGTAATGTAGTGTGACATTTGAAATCACCTCAGCGAAATTGAACCATTACATTTATACAAATCAAAAAATGAAAAATGTTTTTTGCATCCCTCTTAACATGTTAAGAGGAGTCCAAAAAAAAAAAAAGAAAGACTTTATTTGTATGAAGTCCATGGACGTCTACATCCAAACTAATTCCGATAAATTTATTTAAAAATAAAAGTTTCTTACAAATTATATCTGTTCATCTTAAAAATTTACTTTTAAGATATCTCTAGATAGTAAATTATTTTGCATAACTGTTAGCACTTTTTTGAAGATAAAGTTAATTTTTATTTTTTCATTCGTTACGATCTTAAAAGTAATAGCTGTATAATAGAATTAGAATGGTAAGCGATTGACCAAATTGACAAAAGAAAAAGGTTAATAAACCACATGTGCACGCGAAAATACAAAAAAAAATATTTTTGCAACATGTGTTCAAAATCCAAAATTTTTGTTGGGATTATGGCAATTTGTGCTTAATTCGCCTGTTTCATACAAACTTCTTTCTCTGTTCAAATTTTAAGTATATAAATATCTAATCGAATGCGTATGGAAGATAACAAAGACAGTTCTCCGGCTAACTATAATGAACAAGTTTGCAAAAAGAACGCAAAAAGACGTGAAGAAATAAAAATCCGTCTCGATATGCTTCACGAAATTCTTGATTCTACATCTTATCAAGTAATAATGCATCCAAAATAGATTTACTACAAAATTAATGTAATAATTTCTGATTTACGAATCTATGCTTCATGCTTCATTCTAGAAAGACAAATTCTTCCCAATGGAAAATTTCCTATTCATGTAATTCCACCATGTACAGTACGTGGTTAAAAAATATTCTGTTACAGAGCTCCGTGAACATAATTCAGAGATTCTGTGAAAAATTTTCCTTGATAGTTTCGGGAAACCTGTCAGACCTTGCACGAAATCCGGGAAACTTCCTACAAAATATTTTCTAAAATAGGTAAATTATATAGTGATCTTAATTTATAAAAATTAGTGATGCTAATCGGCTTGTTCGCGTTCTTATTAGAACTAGAAAAGGTGACGTTTTGTGGGCTGGAGCCATAATTCTTAGGTCTTACACTTAGGATGAAATATTGTATTAAATATTATTATTTTTTATAATTATATACTGGAAAACCCTTTTACAATTTGTCTTTGCTGCATCTGACGCAAGAGCCAGTTTTATGATCTATGTAACTGAAGGAGAAGATTCTTTACAAGTAGGGCAATAATCTTTTTTTATTTTTGTTATTATTATTATTTATTTATAAACATGGTATAAGAAGTTAAGCTAATTACATAATAGTATATATCATAATGATATAGATACACATTTCGGCGGATTGGCGGAATTGGACCTTTTTTAGATCATCTGAAATTGAACCCTATTCATTTATTAATCATTAATGGATAGGATTTAGGCGTACTACCGGTAGTATTTTGTACTCAATTGTGACACTACTTAAAGCTAATTATCTACAAATTTAACAAATTAATAAG